TATATCTTTTTTTTTCAAGATACATTGTTTTAGATATGTTTTATAGGTTCATCATCAGAAATATTGGAAATAGGAGCTGAAAGAGGACATGACATCTTTCAGAAGTACATAAAACCCAATGGTACAATATCTGCAAAAGCAACTTGTGTGACTGGTCTACATATGATTGACAATGAACTGGTCTACATATGATTGACAATGAACTGGTCTACATATGATTGACAATGAACTGTACTACAGAGATCAAGAACTTACAACAACAGACTTGAAATCAGCACTCCAAAAGTTTTCAGAGTGGCTATCGGACACAAATTCTAATATTCTTGTAAGCCACAATGGATTCCGGTTTGACTTTCCATTATTTATGCAAAGCATTACATCACAAAATATTGTTATGAATACATGTATTGCCGGTTTTATAGACACTTTGGAGGTTTTTAAAAATTCTAATGTAAAGACACAAACTGGCAGCTTTTCTCAGGAGTCTCTTTTGAGAGAAGCAGGTATCCAATCGACAGGAGTTTCTCATTGTGCCCTAACGGATGCTATGGACCTACAAAATTTAGTGATTTTTCATAACATTCCTTTCAACACTCTGTTGAGGCAAAGTGCAGTTTACAATTATGTTTTACAGCATCAAACATTTTCTCTAGTAAAGAATGACAATTTGAAATCTCTTGAAGTCTTAGTTCAGGGAAAGGTTATTACAGAATTCATGGCAAATAAAATTGCAAAATCAGGTTGAAATATGAAATATATTAAATTAGCACACTCATGAAATGGTGAAGATGGAGTAAAAAACTTGTTTCAAGAAATTGTAAATGGAAAAGCAAGAGTTACAAAATGTAAGAAAATAATCAATTCAGTGTCCAATTATTTATCTAGTCAGTTGTAAAGAGTTACCTCCCTTTGTTTTTCATAGTTGCAAATATATTATTTCATTTTTTATCTCTCTTATATACCTGGCTCCACCATGTAAGATATGAATTTTTGTACACCATATGGCCAAACCTTTGTTTTTTTATTTTTAGAAAATTTCAGAAATTTCATATTTAAAAAAGATATGTGTGATTATCATTTCATTTTTCATAATCTGTTGTATGAAATGTCAAATATTTATGAATTTGTCATTGTCATTCTGTGTGTTTATTATTTTTTTTATATGTTGATTGATGTAACCCTGGTCTAAGACTTTAAGAGATTTCAAAGTAATTTAAATATCTAATAAATAATTTTTTTTCACTTTCATACATATTTCCTTATTTTTGTAATTTTTTCTTAAAAAAAGGTGGCATCCTTGTATGAAAATATTTTTAAAAAATTGTTAGTGCACTAAGTTATAGTATATATTTCTTTAAAGTCTTAAATTTTCCTCATTGTTGGTGTTTAGAGCTTCCTTAATAATAAAAATTCAAACAATAAGAATATTAATAGATACTGTGGTGGAGAAATGCATTAAAACATTTGAAATAGAATGACAATTGAAGACGATTTTTTACCAGAGAAGTTTTTTTTTTTTAAATTGATTTTTATTAATTAAAAACAGAGGGAGATAACTCTTGTCAAACTTCAAGGTCATAAATGAGAGCACATACCACCCTTACATGCTTATTTCTAATAAACGGGAATTATGTCTAAATATACTGAGTGTCCAATCCCTACACATCTGTTATGTATTCCATTTCATTGAATCTGTTGCTATTAGGGATGGAATACCTAAACTTTTTTATTGCTGATTCAACGTCCAACTTCTTCAACTAGCTTCTGAATGCCTGATCTTCCCTGAGAAGCCTTTTATACATGTACCCTTTGGTTTTGGCTAGACCATTCCATGGGTTGTCAAGTAATTCTTCAATGCGTTTTACTCAAATGCAACTTCACCATTACACCTATATATTCTCCTGTAAAATTTTGACCCCCTGTTTTGGCCCGACCTACCCCCCCTGGGTCATGATTGGAACGAATTTGAATCTACACTACCTGATGATACTTCTTTTATAATATGATTTATCATTGCTTTGCTGTTCTCGAGAAGAAGATTTTTAAAAACTTTTCCTTTATATTCCTTTGTAAAACTTCGACTCCCTCTTGTGGCTTCACTCTAACCCGCGGGGCTATGATATGGAAAAAAAACTTGAACCTAGAGTATATAATGAAGGTTTCACATAAGTTTCAGCTTTTCTTTCCAAGTGGTTTTTGAGAAGAAGAATTTTAAAAGATGCCACCAAATTTTCACGAATTCCTAGTTATGTTATCTCCCCTTGAAAGAGGGCGCAGCACTTCAGGACTGTGAACAAACTTAAATCCTCTTTACCCAAGTATGCTTTGTGGCATTTAGTTGAAATTGGCACAGTTGTTATTGAGAAGAAGTCGAAAATGCGAAAAGTTTACAGATGACAGACACACACCTAACACTGCTATAGATGCTATATACCAGGTGGTCAATTGGTCACATTAATTAATGCACACATTAACAATGAATTAATTGCAGTAATCTTTTTTAACAAAGTAAGATAATGCATGATTACATTGGTTCCTTTATCGGTTAATTTTCTATAAAGAAAGTATTCTTTTTTTTTTAAACTGACTTTATTCCTGTCGAATGTGGTACATCTTTCGAACAAGATTACTAGTCTATTTGTTATAATTTCAAAACCGTTAAGAAAGAACACATATCATAAATGGAACGTAAGCTTGTGCTTGCAATGCATTATTTATATGTGTATTTACATTTACTTCTTACATGTGATGGATATCTGATACGTGTTCACACCCTTGCGAATATTGAAGTATCAAATAGGTTCAAACGTTAGTTTTAGAGAGACAAAGATATCGACAGTACAAAACCAGTATGCCCGTATCTTTGATGGTATAAAATTTTGATGTACTTTAAGAAGAAAAATACCAATAGGAAGGATTATTTTGACATATTTAATTGTTTTTTTCTGGAATATAGTACAGGTATTTCATAGCATATTTTCTGTTTAATGGAATTTTATAAAAAAAGATTTCATTTCTCTGTATAAGGAGAACATTCGTTCTCGTCCTCTAATCTACTTACATGTTTATATATGGAAACATTACATACTTGGCTCTACATACATTGCATAAAATTTATGTGTGAAAATTGAACTAATTTTTTAGTGTGTTAATTTAGGTATATTTACAGTACTAAGGCACTTTAATAGTCTTAGTGAATACATTTATATTTTTTTGATTTTTTACAGTGATACAAACGCTTTTTTTGGCAACATCAGATCAAACAACTTCTTAATTTTTTTTTAAACTTGGTGCGACTGGATCTTATATTTTGGTGCGACTGGATCTTATATTGAAGGAACAAGCCCCCTTTAGTTGATAGCTTTAAAAAGAAACGAGGAAATTCTCAACAACTTTATTTAATGAAGTTTTAGGAATTGAAATATTAAGTGATTTCATTTTTTAAAACGGTCCCAGAAGTCCTTTTTGGCTATTACACTTGGGATTATAAAAACGATTTCCGAATAAAGAAATAATCCGTATACTTTTCTGCTCTTTTTTCATTTTCTTTTGTCTAGACTTTATTTTATTTTATATATTTCATTTTTTGCAAATTTCTTTAAAATTTATCTGACCATTGTCTAAAACTTCCTTGCTTCATGCAATGAATTGCAACAGGCATCGAATTTAATAGACTGTAATGCTTGCAAGCATTGTTTTGTTCTAGTACTTAAAATTGTATGATGATGGAAAGCTTAAAAAAGAAAATACGGAGAAACCATAACTTTCTTTAATATGATTTGGTAATTTGATCTTCAATAAGAAAAACAATTATATTCCATTGTTTTTAAGGTACTTTGTAGAGTAGTCTGAGCTTGTTTTATGATTAGGCAGGAACACTGTGTAGAAGTGAAATGTCATTTGATTTTGAAATGACAGTTTTAAAAATGTTTACATAATTAAACGGAATTCCTATACACAACTTAGAAATACAAAATGGAATACAAAAACTCACCATAACTCTCCCCCATGTCTCTAAACTGTATGTGTATGTTGTAAACACTGCTTATATTTCCCAGATTGACGTACCACCACACGCTTTCTCTTTCGGTATTAGGGCCTATTGGAGTAGTCTCTGCACAAGTACCATAATTCCCATCCACAGCATTATCGGCTTCAGAACCGACCGCTAATGAAGTTGTACTTTGAAATGCCGGTTTTTTAGAAGATAAAACATCTGTATTTATAGAGTAGATGTATATTCAATTCTTTTTTCGAGAAACCTTTAAAAATCATGATAAAGGTTTTACATATATATTTTTGATGTCTTTGAATAATTCTCATGCATATAAATTTCATTGAATGGTTTCTGCAATGATTTTGATATATTGCATTAAATTGTCTTGCTTTCTAGGTGACGATATTTATTTAAAACTCACCTTAAGCGAAAGCTCAAGAATTTTTTTTTTTTTATGATTTGTCGTTCACCGTCTGTTCGTCGGTCTTCCTAGTCAGTAAAATTTCAAATTTTTAATTTCTCCCCCAAAACGACTAAACAAATCTTAACTAAGCTTTGTGCAGAACATTTTAAGCTAAAGAAATTTAAGTTATTTTTTTTAATAATTGGTCAAATCCTTGAAAAAAAAATTACTTAAAAGGGTGTCAAAATAGTGCTGATATCTCAATAACCACTAAACTGATGTGAAAGCCTATTACATAAGTATTATTTCATTTTTCTTCAAATAATAGCCAAAGGCATGGTGGGACCACAATGCGGGGGCAGGATTTTATGTAGAAGTACACAGCTCAAAAAAAAAAAAAAAAAAAAAAAAAAAAAAAAAAAAAAAAAAAAAAAAACTTTTTACCCTAATCTGCTTCAAATGCATATTTTAGAGTAATTATAGTGCTACTAAACAATGAGCAATCAAAACAAATGATAACTTTTGGAATTTTTTCATAGGTTTTACATTCGGGATTAAAATATTTCCTGTTTTAGTACTGGATTTTCTTCCTTTAACCATTTCTCTACCGGCGCGTTTTAAGTGACTTAGGAGACTTTTTGACATATTATTATAAATTGATTCTAACTTTTATCCAAAGAGAAAGCTAGGCATGATAGATACCATTTTGTACGGTATTTCTTACAGATGGTATTCTATGACTATTCAGGTACATCGCAACTGACCATACTAGTGGAAATGTAGGTTAAGATAGGTCGCGGGTTTGCTTTTGTCATCAATTTTGGTACACAATTTCGACGATTCGAGCGGTTGTTTTGTGCACATTTGATTATGACGTCAGTTACGTCACAAAGGCGACGTTGTGTTGTTTCCCGTATAATTCTCTGAAAATAACTTCATCATTAGTCTACAGGTACGAATCAAGTAGATTAATTCAAAGTGCATGCTATTGTACGTAAACCTCGTACATGTACATGTATGACCCAAGATCGGGTATTATTAAATGACAGTCTGAATTCAGATGTGAGTATGCGTAATGTCTTAGAACAAACTAAATACGATAACAAATGAAAGGAATAATTTACAAGGTAAGTGTTAATAAACTGCTAAAAGTCAATCAAAATGAGTCAGCGTAAAAGTTATGGTATACAAAAAGAAAAAAATTATTGTAAATTTTTTAGCCAAAAACTTGAAGGGTTGTATGTGCGCACGTAATTTGCACCTCAAAGGGAAGTGCGTATTACACCATGTTTGCCGGGGCGAAACTTTTTCAGGATGGAATCAATCCTCAACACTAAAAATGGATGAAATTTAATTACAGTACATGTATTTTCCTGTTTTTTATCATCAATATTTCAATCATCATAATTATTATTTGTTTATTTTGTATTTGAATCTCGTGTAGTCACTATGTATATGCAGGCTAACAAATTGTGAAATGCATTTAAAAAATATTTTTTTTACAAACACCCAGACTATCAGACCTATATGACACTGTAAACAATTTACAAGTATCAAGTACATTTTTTTCTATATAAGAAAAGCTCTCTGTGTATAAGCTCAATGCAAGTGTTTTACATTTTGCGTATGGAAATTTGATTGAGAGAATTCGAAATTAAGAAATGTTTGAGAGTTAGGGCTATATACCAGCTTGCAACTAATCTAGAAAGAACATTGCCGGTAACACTCCCCCCCCCCCCCCCGCGCTTTTTCTCACTATTGGGATGTTTTTTCCTCGCCGTTTTCGAATGTTCAAAGTGATCAAATTCATGTGTTATGCCTGAAATCCTACTGAACATGAACATCAAAAAAAATAAATGAATTAATATGTTATCACTCGCCGTGTTGTCGATGCATGTTAATTCTAATACACTAGAAATGTCAAAAATAATATACCGTTCATTCTGACTTTGTGGGCAGAATATGAATACTACACTGTGTAGTGTAAATAAGTTGCTGGTCATCCTTACATGTTTCCGCAAGAAGTGAAATGATGAATAAAATTACATTTTGCAACTATGTCACCTTTTAGATCTTGCATATTCCAAATGTAAAGATATTTATACTCGTATGTAAACGTGATTACGTTCACCACATGACGTTGTAGTCATAAATAACGCCATAAACGCAACATTTTGGCAATATAAAAGCAAACTTTTAAATTATTTAGCAAAAAAACTAGCGAGAAGACATATTGATTTTTTTTATCTCAATAGTTTTAATTTTATCTCATCTGGATATTTTGAAATTCCTGACTAATTCGTCTACGTCTTCAAAAAATTATCCATTTTTTTAAAGAAACTCTTTCCGCAAAGTTGGCTTAAAAACGTCATATTTCTATATATTTCAATAGTAAAGCGTAAAAATAGTACTAAAAACTATACTGCGTTTACAGTGATACAGCATTAAAACTACGTAGACAAATTTAATAAAAATTACAGATAAAATACTATAAATTCTAAGGAACATTATATCAAATTTTCAGGATATGTTTTCTCGTAAGAATTTTTAAGCAGTAAACCCGCGACCTACCTTAATTACTTAACTTTGGATTAAAAAAAAATAGCAAAGCCAAAGTTAAAAAAATTAAAGCATTCTAATGCCTTGTTCACACGGAGAGTTTAATTCGAATTAAACGTAAGTTACTGCGAGTTAAATTTGAACAGCGTTCACACGGGGAATTTAATGCGAATTAGTTTAATTCGAATTAGTTTACTGCGCATTAAATTACTTCGCATAGCTCCGTGTGAACGCTAAGCGAAGCTAATTCGAATTAAATTTTGAGGCATGCGTAAGGGCAGAATTAAGTCACAGGCCACATGTTGGAGGTCAGATATAGGTACATGTACTTGTGCTATTTTTGAGTGGAAAACAAAGGAAAATTATGCTAATCACTCAAATGTGTACAGACACTATGACATTATGTCAGATCAGTGGTCAAATGTATCTGCTAGGCACAATGTGACGTGATTCGCAAATGATCAAATACATGTAAGTGCATTTTTTTCGAATTTTTTGGGCACTTTATTATGTTCAGTCTAGGAATTTACAATGATGTATGAAGAAATAGGAAGTTTGGAATTTAATCACAAAAAGGCATTAAACTTAACTACATTAATCAGATGATTTTTTTTCCAATTCTGTATAAAATGACGTAAAAAGGGTTGCTAAGCAAAAGAGTATTTTTCAATTTTCGGGCATTATTTCTTGTTTTTTGTTCATCATATTTGTGCATTCCATCACATTTTAAAGTCAGATATGGGAAAATAATATCAAAAGGGATGTGCATCAGATAAATTGTTATCAAGTTTGACCTCATTTTATCTATTTTTGGAAGTCAAACATCAAATAAGTGCAAAAATTTATCATCTTCTTTAACACTTTTCCTGCTTCTTTAACACAATATTTCTGCTAAAAGTTTACAACAATGGACGTTGAAATAAAAATTCTGAATATACTCCCTAGAAGGCATCTTACCTTACTGAACTGCAATATACATCTACCATTTTTGTTTTCATATATGACCTTTAAGTTGCTGCTAAGCAAAACAATTTCAATTTTTCGCTCATTCCTGTCACTTTTGTGCTTTCCATCATAGTAAGATATCGGGTCAAAATTATGTATAGGACATAGAACAGATAACTGTCTTATATATTGACCTTGACACTTATGTTCTGTTCTCAGGGGGTTAATGTCATATCTATACAGAATTCTGCCTTAAATTGAAAGTACATATACATTTTAAAATGCTGCAATTATTATGGACATATCATCTAATAACTGACACATGAAATTATGAACAACAAAATCTTCAGAGGTATTACAAAAATGAATTGTTCTTTTTTTTTATTTTGTATATCTTGGTTGCCATGCAATATATTTATAACTTAACTCTTTACAACTTACTGAACTGTGACGCATCATACACTTAATGCTCACGTCACAGAAATATGAAGTTACCTTTTCCCCGCAAGCACTTCATAGCAAGGTACGAGTTTCTCTAAAGTTTAGCGTAAATAATTATGACGTAATATTTTAATAAGATTATAACCTTTCTTATTTTATGAGATTTTAGGAAGTATAAAGTAGAAGGGAATTGGCATTAAATTGAAGATTAAATTTACTTTTGAAAGTGCGTGAAAAATGCGTGATTGCGGGGAAACGGTATATGCGTGATTTTGGTTAGAAATAGGAAATGGTATATGCGTTAAAATGCGTGACTGCGGGGAAGAGCGTAAAGTGAACCGAAATAGAATTTGTAAGATTTTTAAGATGTGATAACATGTACTTCAATCTTAGTGACATATACTATTAATTTAATATGGTTTAGAAAAGGCAATCTTCATAATGTATACAGTTAAGTACAATCAGAAATGTATACGTCACATGATCTCGAATCACAGCTTGCAACATTGATAAAAATAAAAATATGACATGAAGTATCTGAAGAATATTTAACAAACAGATAGGTTCTTTTGTTAGTAAGTTTGCAAGTCTATATCTGCAATATAGATTATGATTAAATGCACATAGTCTTCAAAGTGGATGATGCAAACTGAGCACTCCCCGTAAATAGGCATACGTCATATTAGTTTATTATCTCCTACATCAAAATTTGGGTATAACATTTGCATTCGTTACACTTGCTTTCTTGGAATGGACCACACGTGCTCGTATTGGTTATTTTACGAGGGGTGATCAAAAAGTTCGCGAACTATCTCTATATTTACAAAACCACAATTCAGATCAGAATGAAATTTGGCACACAAATAGTCATACACATGTTCTATAAACAACATATGTTAAATAATGTTTTGTTCCGTGTTTGTGACGTCACAATGTGACAATGACGTCAATATGTAGGTCACTTGTGACAAAAAATGGTTGACTCAGTCATACTCGAGCAACGAACGGCTGTAAAGTTTAACGTATATCTTGGAAATTCCTTTGCAGTAGAAAAATGATAATTTGTACAAGGTTTATGAAGACAAAAGACTTACCAGAAGTTCAATCATTAATTGGATTGATTGTTTAAGTAAAGACAGGGAGACTGTTAAAAATGATGTTTGTTCTGTTGCCCAGCGAAAGCAAGCCGGGCAAAAGATGTGTCCTTAGTTGAACAATTTTTTTATGAAACATCGTCAAGTAACAATTAGAAAAAATGGTTGTATATCTTAACAATAACATAATTATTCAATCTCTAAAATATTGTTTACTTTAGACTTTAAACATATGAGATATGATAAAAAGAAGGCGCCCATACTTTATCCACATTGGAAAAACGACTCTCCCGAGACATAGGACTCGGGTTGTGATGGGTCACCATACTAATTGTGGGAAGGGATACCCTTATCCACCCATCCTATTGCCGAGATTTGGCCATTTCTGAGAGATGGATTGTTTTTGTTATAAAAAAATAACTTGCATGGTAAGAAATATAAGACTCGGAAAGATCGTTTTGCTTCTCTGAACAGACTGCTTCGGAGCATGTCACGTGACTGGCTGGATCACGTGATTCGCGCTAGGGCAGAACAATAGCAGATGTGCATTAAAATTGGAGA